CTTGGGTCCCTGGGGTTGAGGCCAAGCATCAGTGTTCCTGAAAGATCCCCAGGTAATTCCCCAGTGTAGCCAAGTTGGAGAACCAGGGCAGCCATCGGCAGCAGGTCCACACCTCACTCCCCTTTGTACGCTGGTCCTGGGATTGACACATCAAACAGCACGAGCCTTCGGTGAACCTCGCTGCACCAACAATGACCTTTTTAATAACGTCAATCACATTGTGTTGCTCACCTTAATAAAATCCTCCCATGGCTTCTCATGGCTCTTAGAGTCAATGCAAGCCCCTCATCTTGACTTGAGAGACCCTCAGCAGTACGACCCTGCACACCTCAGGCGGGAGAAGGGAAAAGTGTTAGTTGCTCAGTCGTGTCTGACTCTTTGCCACCCCATGAACTGTAGCCCTTTTCATACTGTTCATGGGGTATTCAAGGCAAGAATACTGAAGTGGTTTGCCATTCCCTTCTCCAGAGGGTGAAGCACAAGCTGGAATCAAGATTGCAGGGAGAAATATCAATAACCTCAGATATGCAGATGACACCACCCTTATGGCAGAAAGGGAAGAAGAAGAACGAAAGCGCTTCTTGATGAAAGTGAAAGAGGAGAGTGAAAAAGTTGCCTTAAAACTCAACATTCAGAAAACTAAGATCACAGCATCTGGTCCCACCACTTCATGGCAAATAGTTGGGGGAAACAATGGAAACAGTAAGAGACTTCATTTTGGGGGCTACAAAATCACAGCAGATGGTGGCTGCAGCCATGTAATTAAAAGATGCTTGCTCCTTGGAAGAAAAGCTATGACCAACCTAGGCAGTATATTAAAAAGCAGAGACATTACTTTGTCAACAAAAGCCCTAGTGAAAGTTATGGTTTTTCCAGTAGTCACGTATGGATGTGAGAGTTGGACCATAAAGAAAGCTGAGCACCGAAGAAATGATGATTTTGAACTGTGGTGTTGGAAAAGACTCTTGAGAGTCCCTTGGACTGCAAGGAGATCAAACCAGTCAGCCCTAAAGGAAAGCAGTCCTGAATATTCATTGGAAGGACTGATGCTGAAGCTGAAACTCCAATACTTTGGCCACCTGATGCGAAGAACTGACTCACTGGAAAAGACCCTGTTGCTGGGAAAGATTGAAGGCGGGAGGAGAAGGGGACAACAGGGATGAGATGGTTGGATGGCATCACTGATTTGATGGACATGAGTTTGAGCAAGCTCCGGGAGTTGGTGATGGACAGGGAAGCCTGACATGCTGCAGTCCATGGGGTCACAAAGAGTCGGACATGACTGAACGACTGAACTGAACTGGACTATAGCCCACCCAGCTCCTCTGTCCAGGCAAGGAATTGCAAAGAATGTCCAGGAATTTCCCAGACAAGAATACTGGAGTGGCTGCCATTTCCTTCTCCAGGGGATCTTTCCCACCCAGAGATGGAACCTGGTTCTCCTTCATTGCAAGTGGATTCTTTACAGATTAACCCACCAGGAAAGCCCTCAGACATGAGAGCTGAGAGTAACACTCTGAAAGCGGGGCCACAGGCCTGCTCTGCCCTGATGTGCTTCATGACTTCAGAGGAGTTAGCAGACCCCCAGCCTTCTCTGCCTCATCTGTCGATGCAGGTTTGCCATAAGGATTCGACTAGTTGACACACGTAACACTCTAACATGGACCTGACTCCTCCTCGTCACCCTGGCCCAATGTCACTCACTCCCCAAAGCAGTCATCCCATCTCCCCCCTGACCCGGGTCTGCAGGACACTCTCCCTGACACCTGGCGTGACTTCCCATCACTCGGGAGCCAATGCTACAACTGCAGAGACCCTCTCACCCCTTCACTGCCCTGTTTTCTTTTCTTTATAGCCTGTATTCATTCACCAGGGCTGCTGTAAGAAAGTATCACAAACTGCATGCCTTAACAGAAATGCATTGTCTCACAGTTCTGGAGATTGCAAGTCTGAGATCAAGGTTCAGAAGTGTGGGTTCCTTCTGAGGGCTTTGAGTAAAAATCTGCTACTGGGCTCTCTGCTAGGTTCTGGTGGCTGGCTGGCAGCCCTTGGTGTCCTCTGGATGGTAGATGCATCACACGATGTCTGCCTACATCTTCACGTCCCAAGCTCCCTGTGTGTGTGGCTCTGTGTCTAAATTTCCTCTTTTTATAAGAACACCAGTCATGCTGGATTAGGATCCCATCCTACTCCAGTATGGCTTCATCTTAGTTACCGCTGTAGGAACTCAGGTTCCAAATGAGATCACTTTCTCAGGCACTGAGGGTTAAGGCTTCAACGTATAAATTTGGAGGGGGAGACACTGTTCAACTCATAACATACCTTCATCCCTCTCTAGAATGATCTGGTTTTATTTTTCTATCTGCATACTGAATTATCTTGTCTCTCCTCATTGAATGTCATTGTTTATATGGCCTGATTTTTCTGCAATGGCCATGCTATATATACCTTTGGTACACAAAAAAGTAATGAAAGATAAGCTTTTCAGAAAAAAACAAAAATAAGCTTTCTCCCTTGCATTGTGATTTGGGTGACTATCATCTCCAATTCTAGACTGAAAACTCCACGAGAGCAGGGACTGTGTCTTTGCACCCCTGAGCTTCACACCATGCTTGCTCTTAACGGATGCTCAGTACACATAGGCTGGGTTGGATTGAATAGATAGATACGTGCACTGATTTCCCCACAGGAGCTCAAGAGCTCAAGTAGAGCACTTGTTCTTGCAGCCTTCCAGATATACATTTTCTCACAAATCTGGAAATCTTAAAAAAAAAAATAATGCCAGCACTCTAAGCTTTTGAATGACACTGGTATATACAGTGGCACGATTCAACTGTACTGATATCTTAGATGTTGTCAAGAATTAACACGCAGCATGAAGCAATGCTGTCAAATCTAGGAGGAAATTAAACCAGTGGGTCTATCACCCAATCCCTGTGAACCAAACTGCCACATTTCACCTAATTCTTCTAATTAGGTTGTGTCTGCAATGTCTTTAGAACCAGACAAGTGTTACATCAAGTGCTAAGTAGTATTAATTAATAATATTGGTAGATTACACAAGCTGGTACTTGGCTGTAAATGTAAATGTTCTAAGCCTATCAGCATAGTACCTGGAATCAATGTTCTAGCTGCACTTTAAAAATTCTTCATAGAATTTTATAAAGCCTCTGACTTCCAAGGCTTCCCTGGTAACTCAGATGGTAAAGAATCAGCCTGCAAGGCAGGAGACCCGGGTTGAATCCCTGGGTCAGGAAGATCCCCTGGAGAAGGGAATGGCAACCCACTCCAGTATTCTTGCCTAGAGAATTCCATGGACAGAGGAGCCAGGCAGGCTACAGTCCATGGGTTCACAAAGAGTCGGACATGACTTAGTGACTGACGCTTTAACACTGACTTCCAAAGAAAGTAGTTTCATATAATCTTTCCATTTTCTGTAACAACTTGACAAAATTTTAGAAATTATCTATTACAATTCTCAATCTATCAGACCAAGTATCTCCTTTTTATAATAAGTGTTTTGACATACCCTTCTTTAATGTCCTAAAGCAAAATTCATGAGTAACCTGCCTGTATATAACATATCTCAGTATGTAAACACTCAGGCAACTACAAATATTGTCATAAGGTGCTTGCACTTTATGAAAAATTAATGTCAACGTGCCAGTTTCAAATGGCACCTTTACAGGCTGTTATAGGTATGCTGAATGGGTGATGCAATACCTTTCAGCACTGAAAGGGGGTCCTGATTTCCCAAAATGGTGATGAACTCCTTTCAAGTTCCAAAGTAAAGAATTTACAATCTTCCTTCAATTTATTCTATAATTGTCTTCCTGGAAAAGCCAAGAGACTGGTCTTCTAAAAACATCCAAAATAGTCTCATGTGCTTATATATAAAACAGGGATAGGTTTCCAGGTTCAGATCATCATAACCAGATTCTTCACCTACAAGAATATCCAGTGAGACATCTGAAGATAGTATGATGCCACCCAACACATTTAGCATCTCTGGGCCCCACCCACCAAATGCCATGGGCACTGCCCCCACCCCAACCTCTGAGAGCAAAAAATCCTCAAAACTTTCCATTTCCTTAGAGAACAAACCTCCAAGACAATCCCATGGGGTGGCTCTTCCCCTCTTGAGATCTAACATTACATCTTTATATTAAAAAATGAGGATTTGTGTCCCCAAGAATATGCTCAAGAATCACACACCAAGCCTTAACAGAGCCAGGTAAGAAGCACTTGGGGGTTAACAGAAGAGCATCTTCCACCTGCCAGGCATTGTCGTAAGGTCTTTCTGTGTATGTGTATCCAATTCTTTGCAACCCCATGGACTGCAGCCTGCCAGGCATCTCTGTTCACAGAATTCTCCAGGCAAGAATAAGTGGGTTGCCATTTCCTTCTCCAGGGGATCTTTCTGACCCAGGGATCAAACCTGGGTCTCCTATACTACAGGCAGATTCTTTACTATCTGAGCTACCAGGGAGGCCCCTAAGATCTTTTTAGACAAACACTTATTTAATTCTCACATCAACACAAGGCAGGAGGCTTGACCATCACCCCTGGGCAGTTGAAACAAGCACAGACATGATGTAACTTCCCGCAGGTCCACTGGCAGAGCCCTACCTCAGACCACCCTCTCCAGAATGAATGTAACATAGAGCAAACTACAGACTGTCATTTAGGACTGGAAGGAATGCAAAGCAGGAAAAGCAGCCCTCCCGTTATGAATACACAGGACAAATCAGTTCCACCAGTTCAGTGCACTGACCTCTACCTATGTCTCCAAGTCATGGTTTGTTTCCCCCTTGGTCTCACCTTCCTCCTTCTTGTGTGTTTCCTGCAGACATTCATGCCCAGGAGAAGGCTGCTGCAGATCCCTCTGGACCTTTCCTGAAAGGGAGATCCCCATTCACTAGATGAGTTCCAGAAGCATCCACTGAGGCTTCTGCAGCCCACCTCTGTCAGCTGACCTTCACCACAACCTGTCTCTCAGGATGAGTGGCTTCCTCACCTCCCTTGACCCCCGGCGAGTGCAGTGGGGGGCCGCCTGGTACGCCATGCACTCTCGGATCCTGCGCACCAAACCGGTGGAGTCCATGCTGGAGGGAACAGGGGCCACCACCGCACATGGCACCAAGCTAGCCCAAGTGCTCACCACCGTGGACCTCATCTCACTCGGCGTCGGCAGCTGCGTGGGCACGGGGATGTACGTGGTGTCTGGGCTGGTGGCCAAGGAAATGGCAGGACCCGGCGTCATCGTGTCCTTCATCATTGCAGCCGTCGCATCTATCCTGTCAGGTAAGCATCTCCATGAAGGCGAAGGCCGCGCTCACTGGCCTGTTACTGTTCCTCCCACTCTTCTGCAGTATTCGGTAGTGAGAGGAGTGAAATGGGAGACCTTTTTGCCTTGACTAATAGGGAGTTCAGTGCTAGGTTTGGCTCATTGGAGTAGCTTCCTTTTCCTTTGGTTTCTCCATCCAAATAATTACTCTGGTGCCTAGCCACTGCCCAACGTCTCATTCCCTGTCATGTCCCAGTGGCTCTATTTTTATTCTAAGTCTCCTTTCATGGGAAGATAGGTCAGTTCCCTTTGTGTGTGTGTTGGGGGGGGGGGGTGGTGTGCGTGGGATATAGCCAAGATATAAATAATAAATAATGGATAGGCAGAGTAGCAAAATGACACGTCAGTAAACCTGATATGATTGGGACTTGATGAGCCTCAAACTGGCATTGTGATCTCCAAGCAGGAGGAAATCAAACTAGGAAATATAAAGCCATTGTGAGAACCATAAAGCACCACCTGCCACAAGCACTTCAACAGATTGATATTCTGCAGTGGTAGCTCAGCAAGCACCTTCTCTCTCCTTGAGAAAAAAAATCATAAAGCTCATTTGTTTGTTTTTTTTAAATAAGGTACCAGGACTTACATACTGATAGTTTATGAAATAGTGCTATTTCCTATTCCTCTTTCCTCCTCTTGAGTTGGGATCCACAGTATTTTCCCAGCATGCCAGGGATGGGTCAATGGAAACCCTAAAAAAGAAGGGAAACGTCTTGCTTCTTGATGGTTATACTGCAAAAGCTCAAGGTGGATTTGAGGTTGGCACATCACGTGGGTCAACTCATGTCTTGGCAATGAATGTTGTGGCATTCATTGAAGAAATGTTTCTGGGGCAGTAAACGTGCTGGCTTATACTGGGAGTTCTGTGTACTAATGCATACGACCACAAGGAGAGTTCCACACTAGTATCACACATCCAGGCTAAATAGTCTTCATCTTTATGGGATGCACGGGCTTCCCGGGTGGCATTACCTGCCAATGCAGGAGAAGCAAGAGATGTGGGTTCAATCCCTAGGTTGAGAAGGTTCCCTTGGAGTAGGAAATGGTAACCCACTCCAGTAATCTTGCCTGGAAAATTCCATGGACAGAGGAGCCTGATGGGCCACAGTCCATGGGGTCACAAACAGTCAGACACAACTAAGCATACATCCCACACATATGGGGGGCACAGACCAGGGACACGCAACCACAAAGTACACTGGTTTACATTTGTCATCTTTTTAATGTGATGAGAAAAATAATTCCAGACTGATTTGAAATATTTATCTCCTGCCATGGCTTATATCCTTGTTGGTTTTACCATTATCTTTTCCTTAAATCATTCTCTAATATGCATGAATATCCTAATAATTGAGATTCCTGCAGAAAAGATTTTTTTCCTTATAGATGAAAATAAATTTTATTCACATGAATGAATTCTGTGGATGCTTGAAATTCTACTAACCTGATTGCAATCATTTTCAAACTAGTTTGGCAAAGAAATTATTTGGGGGAAGATGCCAGATTCTTACTCACCATAAATTTATAAATCTGAAAATGTCAGCATACAGAACAGAATAGCAATGGTAAGACAAAAGGCAGGCATGTAACCACACATCCAACAGAGGGCATAGGGCAGATAGCTAAGGTCCTGCCTGGTTAAGGCAGACCACTCTGCTCTCCACTCAGTCGCTCAGTTGTGTCCAACTCTTTGTGGCCCTATGGACTGTAACCCTCTAGCTCCCCTGTCCATGGAAATTTTCAGGCAAGAATGCTGGAGTGAGTTGCCATTTCCTTCTCCAAAGGATCTTCCCAACCTAGGGATCAAACCCACATGCCTGCGTTGGCAGGAAGATTCTTTACCTGCTAAGCCATCAGGGAAGCCCCACAGTCTCCTCTATGTCCCATTCTATTGTGCCCCAGTACCCCAAACCCACAATAGTTCCCACAAGTGAATCCCCACAGCTTATCCTTCATGGCGCTGGATTACATTCAGAAATTAGAACCAGGCCCAGTCACATTCTGGGAGCCTCTCCCCCTCTCACCATGCTCACGTGTAACCTAGAGCAGGGTTCTGGAGGGAGTGTTGACACCACAGATATTGGCAAACACTACAAATCAGCATTTGTTTGTTGTTGAGAGTGAGTAGTTATACATTAACCAGCACATCGCTGGCCTAGCTTCTCCGAAGGCCAAGTACTATCCAGTAACTCCATCAGGCACCAAAAGAAAGTCCTGCTTCTCCCCCATTAGGGACACTCCTCTCTGCACCTGGTCTCAGCCATAATACTGCTCTACCCTTCGTAACAGATACCTCCTCACTTAGGCCAACCAGAACCTTCCCTGAGCTCCCAGCCAGGGCCAGGACCAAAATAACTGTGCCAAAGTTGGCAATTTTACATTAGGTTTCTTCATCCAGGCATCTCACTCTATGATCCTTGGTCACTAGACCAAGCAAAGTCCCCCTCCACCATGTTCCTTCCACTCCCACATTGTGACCTCAGTAGTGCTTCTCACAGGACCCAATTCCCCACCACTTCTCCATATCACAGTAATCAAACTCCTGTCTACCCTCAGGCTTTTTAATACATGGTCCTTTTCTACTGTGGCCTTAAGCAGAATGGTTTTAATTTGCATTTCCCTAATTATGAATATTTGAACATCTTTTTGTATTTATTTGCCATGCATATATACTCTTTGGTAAAGTATTTGTTCAAATCTTTTTCCCATTATTTAACTGGAGTCTTCAGGGGTTTTTTTAATAAACTTTTAAAACTCCTTTATATATTTTGTATGCAAGTCCTTTATTAGATATGTGGTTTTATAAACATTTTCTCTCAGCTTGTGACTCATTTTTAAATTTTCTTTTGATTTTGTTTTCTTTTTTAAAATACTGATGCCCAGGCTCTACCCCCTAGAGATTCTAATCCAATTCAGTTGGATCGGGGTACAGCCCAGGGATTGATAGCTTTTTTTTTTTTTAATTCCCTGGGGAATTCTATTGTGCAGCCCAGGTTAAGAATTACTCCATTTAGGAACCAGGACCTCCCTATGGAATAGCCATGACCTACAAGAAGAGGAAACATATGCTAACATAGAAATTATTTGGCCAGCAGATTCTTAAGGGATTTTTGCCCTTGTGACATCATCCTCCATGCCATGCAAACCAGTTTACTATATAGAACAAATGCAACTAAGAGATGGAGCCACTTTCTCCATAATTGGACAAGATTTAAAACTACAATAGCTTTCCAGGCTCTTCCTACCGTTCCTGCCCCAACATCACAACTTCCCACAGCCTATCACAGGTAGGGAAAAATTTATCAGAGGAAGCAGCTTGTGCTGTAACCGTTACCCTTTATCCAAAAGGTCTTATCTATTCTCGAATAGCTCAGCAGCACACATCCAGACCCCATGCCCGTGCCAAACCTTAGAAACCCTTTGTGTATACCAGATTGTATAAACCAGATAGGGGAAGTAGGTTTCTCTCTGGTTGCCACTGACAGCTTTATGAAGAGATGAGGGATGAAAGCAGGATAGTTTTCAGAGTTTCTCTAGCTCAGCTGGCTTGGGATGAAACACAAAGCAAGGTCTCCATGCCAGCGACACCTGGCCATTCAATGCAACCTGCCCCAAGAGGCTTCTGTGGACATGAGTGGGGAAATCAAAGCTGTTTATTTCCAGCCCTTTTAATATTAATAAAATTGAACCTCAAACAGAGTATAGGTCTGAATGACTCCTAAGATCATGCACTATCTACAATAACTCTTTGAGCCCACATCTCAGGGGGTTTTGTAAGGATTAAATGACAGTAAGCATTCACAACATCAGTCCCCTGGCTGATACACAATACTCATAATTTTTATCTGCTCATGAAAAACAGTAGCAAAAATCTAATAAGGTATAGTTTGGGAAAGCTGTATTGGGTACCCACTATATGCCAGTCTTAGGGCAATACCAGAAATAAATAAGGAATTGTCTCTACCCTAAAGGACCAATCACTTATTGGGTTCATCTCCATTGTTGGAGATGAACACTAAACCTGATAAGCAATTTCAGCAATAATAGTACTGATAATGACAGTGGCAGCAGAAATAGCTGATTTGAGCACGTCCTGTGTACCAAAAGAGTTCTAAGGGATTTACACATTATTTCACTCAGTCTTCACAACAACCCTATGTGGTAAGTGGTCTTATTGTCCTCATATTACAGATGAGAAAAAAGGAGGCTTCTGAAAAGTTTGGCAACTGGTTTAAGGTTCTTGCTTAAGAGGTGACAGAACAAGGAACAGCATGAACAGTCTGACACCAGTGACCACTTGGCACTCTCAGTTTATGGTTCAGCACTAGGGTTGATCATTTTGTGTTGATCATGTGAAAGATTCTCACTCACTCTTTCACATCTTCTCATCCATCACCCGGAGAAGGCGATGGCACCCCACTCGAGTACTTTTGCCTGGAAAATCCCATGGACGGAGGAGCCTGGTAGGCTGCAGTCCATGGGGTCGCGAAGAGCTGGACATGACTGAGCGACTTCACATTCACTTTTCACTTTCATGCATTGGAGAAGGAAATGGGACTTCCCTGGTGGCTCAGATGGTAAAGCGTCTGCCTACAATGCGGGAGACCCAGGTTCAATCCCTGGGTCAGGAAGATCTCCTGGAGAAGGAAATGGCAACCCACTCCAGTACCCTTGCCTGGAAAATCCCATGGACAGAGGAGCCTGGTAGGCTACAGTCCATGGGGTCGCAAATAATCAGACACGTCTAAGAAGGAAATAGCAACCCACTCCAGTGTTCTTGCCTAGAGAATCCCAGGGACGGGGGAGCCTGGCGGGCTGCCGTCTATGGGGTCGCACAGAGTCAGACATGACTGAAGCAGCTTAGCAGCAGCAGCAGCATCCATCATCACGTGAGCCCTGGTAACTGAATCCCTGGGGAGGTGGTAAGGGGAGCAGAACTCTTTCCCACAGACAAGGC